TTACCACAGCAGCCACTAAAATTCATTTTTATTCAAACTAATTGCAGAGATAATTGACTTTAGAAACTAGGTCTGTATTGTAAATTTACTCAGAACCATGTATTTTCTCATTTTCTCTCCTTTCTATAATGCCTAGCTGAGTAGGTACTGTTTGGGTGAGAGGCCATATAGCTACAGTGTGACTCATCAAAACAAAAGTTCTCAGTAGGTGGTGAAAACAAACTCTGTGTATCATGTGGCTGAGACCTAAATGTCTTGCACAGTTGCTACTACCTGTACAACCGAATTTCCTGTGGTAATGCTGGTGGTTACCCACTGTTGAACTAGACCTCAGGATGGCTTCCAGAGCATTTCCAATAACCATATTGTTATTATGACTTTAAAATTTGAAGCAATAAACTGAAAAAATACCTGGTTTGTGCAATTATTGGTTGCTCTCCTTTTGTGTAAGACTGTAGCTATGTCAAGTCTTGTGGTTTATTTGCAAGAGTGCATGTGTAGCCAGTTGTAGTATACGTTGGAGAGTTAAGTGCATTGGTAAGACTGATTGCAGTGTGTCTTAATCCATTTCTAATTGAGCATCTACCCTCAAACACACTATGCATTTCTCTTATGAGTTTAAATTTTTTTGTTTGTATGTAGGATTTGTTTGCCCAGGAGGGCAGTATAGTTGTCAGTACTTTAGGGTTGCATTAGCTAAGTGCTTTAGAACCACAGTGAATCAGTTTGTTTGTAAGGAGACAAAAGCCCGTCAAATGTTCATTTACTTCTCATCCATCTGCATTAAAAAACTCAACACATTTCACATAGCTGTGGCTTCACAAGTTTTCTTCTGGTTGCAGATAAGCCAATGGAGGAAGTAACTTCACCCTGCTTTCTTGCTGGAGTTTATGGACTTGCCACATCCTAGGATACATCCATCAAATAAACCATAATGAGAACAATTTCAGTAGTGTTTCTTCACTATTCCAAATAATTTTGACAGAGATGTGTTATTAAGCTATTGCACAAGTTAAAGGACTGCCAGCTGGGGATGGGCAAGGGAGCGGCTAGGGTGGTCTGGAGCCAGCAGAGTTGAAAGCAGAAGACAATTGGCACTAGCTAGAACTTTTGATGTTTTCATTTAAAGTTGCTGCCTTATTTGAAGTAATTTAAAAATAAATAAATTACTAGTTTGGTAAGCTGTAGAATGTTTAAGGCTTATGTGTGCAATGCTGCACTTCCCTGGTGATCAGGGAATTTGTTTAAACTCCAGCTTTCATAAAAAAAAAAAAAAAAAAAGTTAAATATCCAATTCTTTTGGTACAAAGAAGATTTAAAAGTAAAAGTCTTTATTTTGACAGTAAATAAACCATGGTAAGCCAAATAATAAAATCTCAGTGTTACAGGAACAGTTAGAATAGTGAAAAATGTGTGTGCTGCTGGTATGTCTTTAAATATTAATTGTATTCTAGTTGTCTTCTCTTTTTATGTAGTCACCTGCATTCACTTATATATTTCCTCTCAGCATTTTGAAATAGTGACTCAGCTCAACAACCAGTTGCTCAAAATAATCAGACTGTCATCCCACTCTGTTTAATGCAATGCAAAAGTCCATTCTTGTGCTTCATAAAGAGAAGGTGCCTTGGGTTTTGTCTGTGTCATACCATGGATGTAGAAATGTAGTATTTTGCAATTAATACGCAAGTTATGATAATGTATTGAGGTTATGTGTGTTGATTTGCTCTCATTGGTATTCTAGAAAGATTCCACCTGACTGAAAAGAGACATTTTATTTCTGTCATATCAAAAGTCTTCAGATAATGATGTAAAACAGTGCATACAATGGAAAAATCCAGATGTCAGTCCCAATGATAGATGTTCTTAAAGAAAATAGAGGTTTTTTTTAAAATTCTTACTTTATTTTAGAGGTTATGTAAATTTTAAAAGAGACATGCAGCATTTTTAGTGATTTTAGAATATCTTGAAGGCAACTTTGTGTTGCTGCTGCTGGCAAAACTTTCAGTTTGATTTTCAGAAACATTTTTAATCCCCCTGAAGTTGATAGCAGAACACGAAGTTACATATCTTCATGGAGTAACAGGAAGTGTAATTGTCTGCAGAACTGTCAGTAGCAGAAAATACCGGTTCCTTTGCTTCAGAACAACAGTGCAAAACTTGATTTAAATCCGAATTTCAGTACAAGTAATTTTTCAGCCGAAGTTAAAAGAGTCTGTTAAAATAAAATGTAAAGAAATTCCAAAAAAAAACCAGAAAAAAACCCAAACAAAACCAGAACAAACAAACAAAAGCAACAACAAAAAAACCAAACAGAAAAACCACAAATCAAAACTAAAACCACTTTTTTCTCTCTAGGAAAAATTTAATTCACAATTTGCAGTATGGTCATAGCATTAAAATAACAATGATAAAAGATTCAAGTTGTACAACTAAGACCTGGGATATTTTCATTTAAATAAATTGATACAATAATATATTAATTTATTAAGTTTTAAGTTAGAAGAAAAAGGTATGGGCATAAATATTACTAGAAAACAACAACAACAACAAAAAAGCAGGATGTATATTAAATGGCCTTTGTTAGGCTGTAGATTATGATTATGACTGTAAAAAAGATGAGATACTCCTACTGGTTTTGACACTAATTCCTTGATTCTGGGTTTGAATGTATAATTCAGGACAGTTCTTAGAGAGCCCAACACTCTTTATTCTGTTGAGTGAAGCAATCCAGGGAATTAAGTAAGACTGTATAAGGATGCATAGGGACTCTTCTGTGGACTGTGTAGGCTCTGTAGGGGGCTACAGGTGAAATGAGTGAAAAGGCAGTATCCTGTGTTTGGTGACTGAGTGAGCAGAACTTGAGCATAAAGGATGAGGAGAAGGGAAAGGTAAGTATTTTTTAAGGATAAATTAGTGTTTCTGAAACTTAGGACAGAAAATGCCCAAAAAACCTCATCTGCTCATTTATTGATTTCTAGAAACACAAATGAGATGTAACAATTTAATAGTATCTATCCGTTTGATTTATCACTTTTCTAAAATCAGCCAGGTGTGCATTACCAGATAGTAACATGTCCACTGTGCAAAGGTGCAGTAAACCAGGCTCGCCTTGGAGACCGCAGGTAAAGCTTGCCAAAGGAATACAACAAGACAATTGTGTAAATGGGCCACCTGCCAATTTATTCAGTTAAAATTATCTTGCTCTTATGAATACCACTGTAGCATGTAATGACTGGCAATGCTTCTTTATCTCCTTCCAAAATGTCATCACAAAATAAAACTAATTGTTCTGTGTGTGGGAGGGAATAAGAATCTCGTTCAGAGTCTGTCACTTTCTTATGGTGATGGTTATGGATTTCATTCACTTTTTTTTTTTTTTTTCCTTTTCTGCCAACTAATTGATGGTGAGCTTGTTCCTGCTGCTTTTTTGTGTAAAACCTGATGGCAGATGCAGTGCTCAGACTCTTGAGCCTTTTTCTCACTGCCAGAAACCAATTAGCATTCTCAGAAAATATTTTCAGACTACTACCTTCTGGCTTAACTGAGATAGTGTTCAATACATCTTTCTCACATTGCTATTTACTATTGGATTGATACTCCATTATTAAAGCATAGTGAAGGAAATTTGATAATTTTATAATTGAGCCAGTAATAATTTGGCTCTTCCCAAAGCTAACAAATTATTCTGTATTTTTACTGTAAAGTAGAAATTAAACTTATTTGTTTCTGTCATTGTTTAGGAAAACTTCTCACTATTTTACTAAAAAGTAATTCAGAACACCTAGAAGAAGTCTGATTATTTCTTGTGTGGGTTTATTTGAAAAGAGTGCCTTCACTAATTACTACAAGGAAAAGAACATGTTCAGGAGTTGATGACACTTTATCATTAAATAAAGTATAAAACCATTGATCTCATTGCCTAGAGTGAATGAGGGGATCCCTACATTAGTTTATCTTTTCAGTGGCTAACTATAGGTTACTTTTCTGCTGTGAACTAGCCAAATGTCAAAGAACTTGGTTTCCTGCAGCAGTCTTTCTGCCACATGTCCACCATGGGGAGAGCATAAGCTTCATGGTGCACTGACTTCATTAGATGTCCAGCTCCTGGACACACACGTGTATCTTCTTTTTTTGAGGATGTTTTTCAGGACAGCTAATTAAAACTTACAGTACACGGGTGCTTTATGGTTGAAACTCACCATTAACCAATAAGCAGAATAGGTCTATGCCATTGTTACTGAGCATTTACAAGCAATTTTATACAATTTTGGGTTATTTGCTAGCCAGCTGGAGTGTTTTTCAAGTACTTCAGACTTATTAACCTGATCAGAAGTTTCAGTGTGAACGCAGGAGTTCAGGTGCCAGAGATCACACTAATTAGTTTGTGCTGCCTTCTGGTAACAAGATCTGGAGAGTGTTTTAACTGTCAGTGGTTGGTCTTTTCCATTTTTAATTTATTCTCAAAACAGGGCTGTTTATCTTCCTGTCATTTTGTGACTGGTAATGATCTATTACCAGTCAGTTACACCAGACTGCTATAGACCACTATCTATTCTATAGCAGTCCATTGTTTTGTGAAAGGTTCATTCAGTTTTGATATTCATACAGACTGAATATCACGAAATATGTTACAGATTCAAAACAATTTTGTATTTTTCACACGTTGTGTAGTACTATGCCTTTGAATTTCCTAGAATTATGTAATTGACAACTTTGGTGAATTTTCATGTGAAAGCCAAGCCAAGTTGTATGGGATTAAAAAAAAAAACATAATAATTATGCTACCTTTCTTGTAGAATTAGCTTGAACCTATGTAAGTGGAGATGGGAGTACATTTTTATATTTTGTCCCCTCTTTTCTGCCGATAATACTTTTTTTTTTTTCTGTTGTACTTCTCCCTACCCCACAACCCACTTCCTTCCCAAGTTTTCCTTTCTCTTTTCCTCAGTGAGATGATGGTGTCACTGTCTAGCATTCCTGTTGTTTCTCCCTGTTTATAGCTATCTTAATGACTTGGACCGTATAGCAGATTCCACCTATCTGCCAACCCAGCAGGATGTGCTCAGAGTTCGAGTCCCAACAACAGGGATCATTGAATATCCATTTGACTTACAAAGCGTCATTTTCAGGTAGGAAAAAAGTTTTAGCACCCACTTGCTTTGCCACATCTATCATGTTCCTAGTAGCTCTTAGTGAATATGATCAAGTGCTTGTGGAGTCAGATAATGAGGTAAGCAACTGTCAGCAAAACCCATGAGTTAAAAAAAAAGTAGTTTTACCAGTCCAGTCCCAGGTGTTTTCTAAATGCATCTACAAGCAATCATGCACAGCTGGGACCCAAAGGAGAAGCACTTCAGGAGTGAAAGGGCAGGAAGGGTTCAATCTTCAAGTAGGGCTAAGCAGATCTGCTCCATAAAGGATTCAAAGAAGTCTTTATTTTGTGTTAAGAGGAATACAGTTGAACACAGAGAAATGTTTGTTGAGTTACTGTTATGAGCAGAGGCACAATAATAGGTGGTGTAAATGAAGACAAAATTTATTGATTCCTAAGGAACAGCCCCAGGGTAGCAAACTCCATTCCTTTGACTTAAAGCCCAAGGTGTATATTGTATTTTTATTTTAAAAAAACGAGAAGTAAGCAAGTGGGTGGGCTGAGGGTTCAAAGCACGCTATCCATTACTTTGAATGCAGCTTTGAATGAAGACTAAGGATTATTTTTTTATGTTCAAGGCATTTTTTTTCTCCTGAGGGCTTCTTAAAGTTACTCATTGAACTTTTATGAATTTTACTCATTAGCACTGTTCTGTGAAAATCTTTCAGCACATACTTTAAAAAGTTAGATGAAAAAAGGAGAACATTCGACAATATCTTCTTCATGGCTGGGTACAAATTGCACTGTTTAAGACAGTGGTTGATGTAAAGTAAAACAGGTGTCCCTGGACAATCACATTTTGTATATTGAACTTTCTTCATGATTTTTTTTTAAACACCTTGGAACTCTGGAAATTTTTACATTTGCAGTGTTTTCATAAAACAAAACTATTGTTATGTGAATTGTATAATTATCTGTGTCATTCAGAGCTGAACTTCCAGAAATTATGATGCAGTCTGCACCCACTTCATCTCCTATAATTTTGGAAGCTAGACACATGTAGTTAAAAAAGAGGAATCTGTCGGACTTGGTTTCTTTCAAGTCAAACTAGAAGTATCTGGTTCTGTCTTTTTCTGTTTGGATTATTCTTTTGTAGCTACAAAGTCAACACATAAATACTAAGCATTTTATTTATACAAATCAAAGCCGAATTTGTTGGAAGTTGCATAAAGAAAAATTAGTTATGATAATTTTCAAATACTATTCTAACTATCCAAAATAAGCTTCATGAGTCAAAACTTTCTTGCAGGTGGTTTTTACACCACACTACTGAACTATTTATATTTTTTAACAACAGAGGAAAACTTCTGAACGTTTTTGATTTTAGTTTCAAATATATTCATTACTTTAATTCAAACTTTTGTTTTCAAGTTACACATACATAGCCTAGTAGGCTTTCCAGCACACTTGGGCCAGTGTTACTCTAACTCTAGGAAGGATCTAGACAGTCTTAGGGCTGAGCACCAGTCTGGGCAGCTTAAGTTTTGGCTTTCAGCAAACTTGTCACCTGTCTGTCTAGATTTTCTTGGTGTGCCAGAACACTGCCTTCTTCCCTTCTTTTTCTCTCCCCTGTATCTCTAAAGATTGCAGTCCCAGAATTAATGGAAGAATGTGTTTATTTGTTCCACACAAAGTAAAGCATAGTTTGTTTGAATGTGGGTGTGGCAGAAATATGGCTTTAAATGTGTTTGTTGACACTTTGAATTAGGAAATTCAACCCGCAAAGCTATTTTTGTTCTTCACTGAGGTGTGACAACCTCAGGAGGGAAGACAGTGGTGTAACTTGAAGACTTTGGTAACCAGCCAAGAGGTACTTTTCGCACTCAGCTTTAAATTGTGGAGCAGTTGAAATTGAAATTTTAGCACCAAAGTGGAGGGAGTGTGTGTGAATGTTCTACTTTCTTAATATATATGCCATCAGTGTGATACTAGGATAGAATCTAATCATTCTTTACTCTATGTGGCCCATATTGAAATTAAAATATCTGACTTGACAATTTACAGTTCTGCTATTTCCTTTTCATTGATTTCATGGCCTGATTAAACCATGATTTTTGTAAGGTGGCCTACTTTCTTTTTCTAATTAGTCTACTACATATTGCCTGAAGTCTCATTTCCTGTAGTTCATTTTTACAAAGAAAAGTGTAGTGTTTAATAATTTATGTCATCCTTTTTAGTTAATACAGTTTTTTATTAATATAATTTTAATGAGTAAATAGAAATCTTTAAAAAGTACTATTTTCTATTTGAGGGGGCGAAGGGGGTGGTGCTGGTTATATGACCTTCCTCATTAGGAAATAAAGACTCTTTATTTCAAAATGTAGTGCCTGATGGATGGTCAATTGTAAATCTATATGTGTCCTTATTTACCTTATTCAAGAGAAATACATTTGGATTATAAATCAGATGAGGTTACACTTAGGACTTGGGAGTCTTTGTTAGTGTCTTTCACTAGATATATGTGAAATGGTGCTGGGAACTGGTTCTATTTTCATGTCCTTGAAGCAGTTCAGAATTAAAAGTTCTGGGGAATGTAACTCTTGTATAAGGGGACACACATAGAAAATAAGACAAGAGTTCAGACTGCCTGTTATTCACAGACATTTGCAGGATGACTTCTAAATGACACATCCATGAAGTTGCACTCCCATGACAAACACCTGAAGAATTGGGAGCTTCAGTCCTGAAGATAAGCATGCCTGGCTATCCAACTGTATTTTAGCTATGATTTCTCGAACAGGTGATATTCAGACCCAATGGCATTTCTTTTAAGTGTGTTTCTAGATTGTAGATTACTTGATTTTGGTGCATAAATACAAAACAGGAAGAGTCAGTTAGGATGGTATACTTTAACACATCCTGCAAAAATTTCAGTTGATGTACAGTCATGAAATACTTCTAACAAACACAAAGGAGAGATAGCTAACTGTTCCAAATTCTGCCCTTAATAAAATAGAAAGTCTGTCTAGATTCATTGCTGAAAATGAGGACAAAATTTGAACCAGAGTACAGAATATACTAATTACATTAATAGTACTGTAAATTAAGTAAATATTCCATCAGTCTGATGTGATGTGAAAAGGACAACATGCTGTAAATTAAATTATTAGATGTTTGACCTTTCCAGTTTTTCAGAAAACTGTAATAGGATTAAAGGTGAGATTAAAAAAATGAAGGAATCATCTCTCCATTAAATGGATTTATTATATATTCTGTCTTGTGGGTCACACTCTAGCTCTGAATTATGCCAGCAAATTTGGAGAAATTAACCATTTTATTAAATGGCACAGTTTAGAACATCTTCTTGTGTTTAAAATCAACTTAACTGTTTACATAAAGTGAGGGTTTTTTTAGATTTCCATGATATGCTGAATTTGAATATTTGTTAGAGATAGCTTCTTTCAACATATCAAATCTCAGTGTCTCAGTGCAATGATTAGAAAAATGAGTTCCAGCTTTGTAAGAAAACCATAGCCACTTGCAGTTATGGAAGAACTAGAGACATAACAGTATATGTGTAAAATGAAGTTCTAAAAAAACGTGAGTATCATTATCTTTGCACATTTAATTAAGTACTTAGAAACAGCAAAATAGAGAACAGTGTTTATTGAAGCTTGTAAATATTTATTAGCGCACTAAAAGTCTTAAGGTATATAAGATTTCATATGGTTTGTGTCACTCTGTGGTGGTTATGTAAACATTTTTATTTTCTAGGGTTCTCAGATCAAAACCTGAAAAGACAGAATATAATTTCCTCAGTTCAGCTAAATTAATTAATTAATAGGCTAAGTAAAAATTAGAAACTTTCTAAACTATCAAAAAGTAAATGCTGTCTTTCCTGAGAAATGCTGCCTTTCCTTCAGAAGCTGCAAAGCAACAGAGGCATTGGACAGCATGAAGTATGCATTGATAAAAGATGATTTTTATATGTAAGTCATTATGAGTATTCTGAACATTGCCCAAAATATATTGGGGGAAAATGCCAGTTTAGATTATTTTAATCAGAGATAATACATTTTGATTAAATTGAAAAATGTGAAATTCTTACAGAATTGGAGGGAAATTGTAACTCTCCTTGATAAGAGGAGATTGTTGTTTTGGTAGATTACTGTACCTTTTAAAAAATACCTTTTGTTTTAAAGCCCTTTTTAAAGTTCGTAGTGTGTCCTAAGAAATTACATTTGATTTAGCTGAAGTCAAAATTGGTAATTTTAACATCATAATGTCATGGAATTTATCTTAAAACAGTAGCACCTTCACTTCCCTTCTATCATCAAACTGCCACTCAATTTTCATTGAAGCTTTATTAAAAGTACCATCTGCTTATAATCCATGTATTTACAGATTACAGTTCTTGTGGAAAAGGCTTGCAATGTATGTAGCAGGCAGGAATGGCTTAAGAATTCTGAGATTTTAAAATAACAAGAAAATTAATTTTTTGCTTAAGAAATCCTAGACACATTATCCTAGAAGTCTTTTCCAACCTAAACCATTCTATGATTCTGTGCCTTCAAGCTGTGTCTAATATTGCCATTACTTCCTGTCTGTTCTCCTTTCACACATCTTAAGGTGTTTTCTAGGATCTGTCTCTTCTGAGAGCTTGGCAAATGCTGTATTGCTCAATGGACATTAAAAAGAAATGATGCCATAAAGATAATTTATCCTTCTTGTGTCCACTGGCATTCACTTCCTTACAATGTGGTTTATCTGCTTTAAGGACCTGCATCATCTTATCTGGTGTGATAACCAGAATCACTCTTTTTTGTTCCAGTCTTGATCAGTCCCTTTTGAAATATTCTAACATGGATTTTTGCATGAGATACAATTATCTTCATTCAGAACTGAAGGAGTTCCTCAGAAACTTGTCTAAACCGTCTCCATCATGCTGCAGTATGACATACAATGGGTGTAGCAGCCAGGTGTGTGAAGACTGCTGCTTGCACTGCTTGGGAATTCTGCTGCTGTAACTTTATGCTCTCTCATTCTGTCCTCAGCATCCCATTGTCTTACAGCTTTTTATCCTGAGCTTACAGACTTCAAAGCAGTGGCTGCTACTGAAAAAGTGCAGCTGTGATCCT